CCATATTCTGTATACTAGGATTTTCTGGGAATGCAACTCGGTAAAGTTTTACCTAAAATTCCTAGTTATATTGGAAAAACGAAAAACAATCATGCTCTAACTTTATATGCTGGCTTATTATATTTGTTTCAGTAGTATCATATTTGTTTTTCGTTCATTGTTTTGAATTGTTTTACATTTGTCACTTCAGGGCCTTTTAAAGCTAACTATGTGGTATGGGTTTTGCTCATTGTTGAGGCCATACAGTGACCTATAGTTGTAAACTTCAATGTCATGTGGTCTTTGGTGGAGAGTTGTCTCATTGACAATAAGACCACATCTTCTTATTGTAATATTATATTAAGAATAGATAAAAACAAAACAGCTTTGATCTTATTTACATTGTAATCACATTATTGTTGTAGTGCCGACCTAAAGTAAATCTTTTTTTTATAGATTTACGTAGCTATTTACAGTTATTTTATCCATGAAAAGGGATATTATATTAGTATCATAAGTTTTTATTAAACATAACACTTTGTTTGTCTATTAGCTCTCTGAGAAAATAAGGTAAATAAAGTAAAAAAAAAAGTACTTTTTGTATAATTTTGAAATATTCATTTATGATTTTCCTACCTTTTATACTACACTACTACAAAATCTTATGAAAGAGATGTTTTCCAATTTCATAAAATAATCTGGGTGTAACTTTATCTGGTTTCTGTCGTTACAATTCCTGTTTCAGTAATGAAATTTACAAAAAATACACAAATTGAAAAAATTCGTGCTTGTTTTGGTGATAAAGTATACCAAAAAAGTAATTGGTATTTCAGTAGTAGCTTATTGTGCCAGACCTCCTATTGTAGATTTATTTCTTTGCTTGAATCCTAATTTATGGTATTTTGCATTCTATTTTTATATTTTTTATAAAGCTCACAAATATAGGAACTGTCCTTCAAATCTGTGTCTTTGGTCCAATAGACTTATTGATAATGATTATTGCTTACAGTAACTGATATCTAGTGCAGGACTGCATGATTAATTTTATATCAGTATGTTCTGTACTTTGAGCTTGTTTTCAGTTACTGCACACATTCTTTAATACAGTATGATTTATTATTATGCCACGCCTATGATAGAATAAGGGCATTATGTTTTCCAGTCTGTGCATTCGTCCATTTGTCTGTCTGTATCAGATTACAGTTTCGGTTTAAGGAAGTTTGCTATTAAGTTGTAGTCACATTAACTTGAAACTTAGTACAAATGTTAAGATGTAAGCTTTCAAAATATATGCCAAATTAGGGTTTTGACTCAAATGTTCTGGTTCACTGAACATGGAATTTTGATAGTGCAAGCAGGGCATGGTGTCTTATGGACACTTTTTCTTTTGTATTTTTCTTATCTATTCAATTAGAATTTTAGAGAAATGTTTTTTCTTGTATTTGATTTTCTTGTATGATCTTTTATGTACGTTTTGTTAATCTTCTGCATGAGATTAAAACAAAAAGGTTTATTAAGAGCCTGGCAAAAATATGGCATTTTGATATTTTTTTGACCTTTTTCTCTATCAAAAATGTTGTACAATTTACATCATTTGGAATACGTGTACATTATTATTTTCTTCAGTACCAAGACCACCATAGGTATTTACTAACTAAATCTGGATCAAAAATGCTGATCAATTTTGCTGTTAACAGTTTCTGTTTATCTAATAAAGCATTCAAGACTTTCAAGTTAATAGGCAATTGCTTACATCCACTTCATTTGAACTTGGGTGAATAGTTGTCTCATTGGCAATCATACCACATCTTCTTATTTTTATAACAAGAGTGCACACGCTGAAATGTCTCGCCTGCTTTACTGACCATTGATTTTATGTTGAAAGTTTTAAAGATAAAGGTTTTACTAAAAGCATTACAGAAACTTAACATTTTTAAATATCTATGACAATGAGGTCAAGGTCAGATAAATCGTGTCAGACAGACATATATAGTTGACCTATTGCATATGCTAATTGAAAAACAGACCAAAACACAAAAACTGAACATTGACCAATGAACCATGAAAATGAGGTCAAGGTCAGATTATACCTGCAAGACAGGCATGTGCACCTTACAATTATTCCATACACCAAATATAGCTGACCTAATGCTATAAGTATTTGAAAAACAGACCAAAACACATAAACTAAATATTGACCATTGAACCATAAAAATAAGGTTAAGTTCAGATGATATCTGCCAGACAGACATGTAAATCTTACAATCATTCCACACATCAAATATAGTTCACCTATTGCTTATAGTACTTGAAAAACAAACAAAAAACACAAAAACTAAACATTGACCAATGAACCATAAAAATGAGGTCAAGGTCAGATAACACCTGCCAGACAGACTTGAACACCTTACAATCATTCCATACACCAAATAAAGTTGACCTATTGCTTATAGTACTTGAAAAACACACCAAATCACAAAAACTTAACATTAACCAATGAACCATGAAAATGAGGTCAAGGTCAGTTGATACCTGCCAGACAGACTTGAACACCTTACAATCATTCCATACACCAAATATAGTTGATCTATTGCTTAAAGTACTTGAAAAACAGACCAAAACACAAAAACTTAACATTGACCAATGAACCATGAAAATGAGGTCAAGGTCAGATGAAACCTGCCAGATTGACATGTACCCATTACAATCATTCCATACACCAAATATAGTTGACCTATTTCTTATAGTATTTGAGAAATTGACCTAATCACATAACTTTAACCTTGATCACTGATCCATGAAATGAGGTCGAGGTCAGGTGAACGCTGTCTGACGGACATGTAGGCGTTGCAAGGAACCCATATACCAAATATAGTAATCCTATTACTCATAATAAGTGAGAAATTCACATGACAAAAAAATTTTTTTTCAAGCAGTCGCTGAACCATGAAAATGAGGTCAAGGACAATGAACATATGGTTGACAGAAACTTCGTAACATAAGGTATCTGCATACAAGATATGAAGCATCCAGGTCTTCTACCTTCTGAAATATAAAGCTTTATACAAATAGTTTATGCTGCCACCGCTGCCGCCGGATAGTACCCTGGTAATACCTATATGTCTCCCATACTGTGACTTTCGTCACAGGCGAGACAAAAACACAAAAATTTGTAAAAAAAAAAAATCATCATATAAGGGCAATAACTCCTTTAAGGAGTTTTCTGATGGTTTTAGCCACAACATTTTTGTACATCTTTTATTGTTTATCATTTGGAGGTTTACAGTTTCTGCCTATTTATTGTAGTTTTTCTAAATACTAAGAGTCATCAGATAATTTTTGTGGAAATGGGAATGACATTTTGAGCATTTTAGCCTATGTCGATTTTCTTTTATCTATTATGGTTTTTAAGACAACTTACAAATTTTAACCTCATTTCCCATTTTTAGCAATGTTGGTTGATTGGGCAGAACCAAAAGACAAAAACTTTATACTCCATACCGTAAAGATCATTCAGTCTCAGTTTGGTTTGAATTCTTCAGCTGTTTCTAGGAAGAAGGAAGATAAAAAGTCTATGACAAAATAGACAGATAAGAAAGACAAACACCAAGTGATAACAAAAGCTCACCAGGCCTATATGGCCATATGAACCTATAAGGAGGGTTGAAATCATAAAAGGCACATTTTCATGTGCTTGTACCAGGTCAGGAACATTGTCAGTAGTTGTTGTATCTAAATGTTATCCGTCATTTGGAAAATTGGGTTTCAATGGCAGATCTTTTGATTGCTTTAGTCAAAATTCACAACTATTATAGACTCTGGACAATTTATAATGTGTGGCTTTGTATTGACACCTGTCTATTGTTGAAGAAGGTATGTTGCCCACTAGATGTCTTTTGGTTATTTTTGTCACAAGTTGGGTTGATGTATACATCTCCAATAATTCACATCTTAAGTGACATTCGTTGCAGTGTATCCTCTCTGAGACACAGACGTTATATGGCCCAAATATAACATTATATAAACAACTGATAAACGAAAACATTTCAACAGATGTCAGAACAGAAGTCAACAACAGAACTTTTGGAGACAAGGTACATATTATATCAAAACAGGCAGTAAAAAAATAAATGCATTGTATAACAAAATATTACTCTTTATTTAAGCAGATGAGTGAATATATTACATAATATTAGTGTTATATCTATTTATTTCCAAAAACATCAATACCACAGAAGAGGAATGTTATATTAACTACAAATATATTCTACAACCAATCAAAACATGTATCCAGTAAAAAATGTCTGTAAAAATAATATAGCCATACCATTACAAAGTACTGCATGTACTGTGGATTCACTATTACTAGTGAGGAATTCATTTTTATGTATTTCCTAGGTATAGGGGAACCAAGAGTTAAACAATTCAGCAAAATACAAATTTTCTATAAGCTTGAAAGCAGAATGTTGTTAAAACCACAAAATTGAGTATCCATAAAAACACACTTTTTCCTCAATCCAGAAAAATTAGAGAAGCCCATGCAATTATTCTAGACATTTTGAAGGATCTACAAAAACATGTAGGTCTAAATCTGTAAGAGGAGTTGATTATTGAAATATTCATATCACAATGGATAAAAATTATGGATAATGAATATTTAATGAGATTCATTGCACACTAGGTAAATTTATTGTTGATAAAAACAGTCAATATAGATGAAAAGTCATCTTTTTTTCATTAAAAGTGTGGATACAAATAAATGTCTAATCTACAAAAAATGTATCTTCTGTTGTATACTTGAAATACAGCCAATCTATGAGGATTGTAACCAAGTACTGTAAATTCAGAAATTATTGCGTGCATTTATTATTGCGAATTTTGTTGAAAGGACTAAAATGCGAGATTAATTATTGCGATTTCAGAAAAATGTACATACAGTTATATGTATCAGATATAAGAATGCGAGTTCTTATTAATGCGATACTCTTTCAGTCGCATTAATAAAAACCTCGCATTAATTTCTGAATTTACAGTACTGATATGACAATTCTTATGTGTATGATTAATGCCCAAAAGTGATGAAAATGCTCAACACATGTATGGATTAAATAAATATTGTATGTGGAAAACCTGCTCTTATCACAAATTGAAGTTATTTTTAGAATTCTATTCAATTTACAAAAAAAATTTAATCTCCATGGAAATCAGATGTGCCAATGCTAATACAACTGCATACCAAATATCATTGACCTACCACTAGTGGTTCCCCATAAACTGACCTTATCACAAACTAATACATTGTTGACGCTGTCGACTGTGCCAACGCCATCGGAAACAGCATATCTAAGCCTTGCTTTTCGACTACGTCAAGACGAGACAATAAAAAAATGTACCTAAAGGGATTTCTTTAAAAAAATACTACTTATGTATCTTAGTTTCTTACTATTATTAAATTGGTTAACATACAATAATAGCAAAATAAAAGAGAACAAACAAAAAATTCAGATGATTTGTGATACTTTACCATACAAAAAGGTACAAAAACATACATACTCTTTGGTCGGGTTGTTGTCTCTTTGACATATTCCCCATTTCCATTCTCAATTTTTTAGTATATGATGACACATTTTTTCCACAATCATCTCTATAAGCATAGACCGGTAATAATAATCATTATCATGATTATGGAAGCAATGTGAAAATGACTGATATGTTAAGGTATAATCATACTATAATGACTACATCTGAAGAGATTCATGTGTTTACATCAACCAATGAATGCAATACATAACTATCATGCCTATATACCTATTTACAATTGAAGGTTAAAAGTTCAACAAAGTCAATTTTTAAAGTAAGAAATATGTGTCAGCATGATCTGCTGCAGAAGCAACCAAATTTGTAAAGACTTTATAGTTTTTTATAAATGAACTTTAATGTTAAACCTCAGACTTTAAAGCCTGTAATGTATCAGTGAAATATATGACCTTCATCCTATGCCATTTGGTCAGTAATGTATTTGCATAAAACACGAATATTTCAATAATTATCTAAGAATTGGTTGTGGCCATGCATGCACATGTAACCACTGAGAGTATTCAATGCATTAGATAAGACAAAATTGCATGTTTTTTGATATTTGGAGAATTGGATGTTGATAAGATAGCTTTGATATTTTTTGTTCAATTTAATCTTTTAAGATAATTTAGAGATTGAAATAAAATACAGACAGCTGCCCATTGTTATATAGACTGTATATTGGCCTCTAGTTGTCTTTTGCTTATTTGTGTCACTGGGTTGCTGCCTCATTAATCATCTAAAACATTTATGTCGTCATTTTACCTGACAATGTCAGACATCGAAAGGAAACAACATGGAGACAGAGATCTGGAAAAAAATTCCTAGACAAAAGACTATAAATCTAACAGGTTTAAAGTAGGAATCTATAGAAGAACAAATCCTACTGATATTTTATAATTAACCATTTATCTTAAACATAACAAGTTAACAAACAATATGTACAAAACATGCCTCATTATATAAATACCAAATATATAAAACCCTTTGTATAAAATCTAGAAATAAATCACTTAAGTCTATTTTTCCTAAACACCATGAAAATTGGATTTCTAGAACAAGTAGAACACCAATAAGAATAACACAGATTTCTGGAACACATTTTGTGTCTATATGGTCCAAATTAAATATTTTTTGAACTCTCAATATTTAGAACATCCATTATAATAGAATATTTTGTGTGGTCCTTTTGACATTATGACATTCTAGAAACTAAATTTCTATTGTTGTTAATAAAAAGTTTAAACTGTAAACATTTAATTAATAGCCATTAATAAGGTTTGCCCCCTAAATTCCTGAAACTCTCAAGATAATCTTGTTAAACGTTAACATTAAGTTAACCAATAGCTTAGTACATATAGTATATCTGATCCTTTCTTTTCAATGTAAAATTTAAATTAAGTAATAGTAGTAACATCTTGCCATTACCCAAAAATTTCTTACAATTTTGAAACATTTAAGCCTGGGAAAAAAATCACCCTTAAAAATCAAACTCAATCCAATTACAATGTCATGAATGTATTCATAATTTATTTTTATTTCGAAGTTCAAAAAATAATAATATAAACTAGAAAACATGAGAACACAGCTCAAACATCCATATCACCCCTCCCATGTACGCCTTTTTTTCCTATAATGTAAACAATATTGAATTTAGAGGTACACAAAGGGGTCATGTTATAAAGATTCTTTGAATTTTTCATTAAATCAACTCGGATGTATAGCAAAAGATTTAGATACAGGATGCATATCCCTATGTGTAACAGTAAAAATATTACAAAGTCCAAGTCTTTTTTATTGGAATTAATTGTACTGACTAGTTTTTGAATTAAATAAAAAAAAAAAAAGATACACTTTATAAATTGAAAAATCATTATCTAACATAATAGGGAGCCCACATATCTTTGAAATTACCTACCTAAATCAATACTTATTCAATGCAAATAATGTATGTAATACATATCCTCACCAGCCGTGGTTTTGTAAGTATTATGAAATCCCACATTGAGTATCAAACCGATCATAGATATTTTAGTACTTAGGCTATAAAATAAAATCAGGGCTGATCTTTATCTTCATTTACTTTATCTGCTAAAACCATCACTGCCTCCTTACGTTGTTGGTCCATTTCTCTTCGTCTAACCTCTGTATAACCTCCTGATCCCGCCAGCACTACAGCATTACTGGTCCACCACAGAGTCGATTTAATATCACCGTAATAAGTACATGCTAAAACAGTCTGAGCACATGCTTTAGCCGTGCCGGATATATTATGTGTTAACGGAGAAGTAACTTTGATCTGTAGTCCAGTAACATAGCCTATGGCAAAACCAAACACTCCACCTAATGTCATGTAAAACCAAAAGGACAGATTTCCAAGTTTGGGGAAAAATATGACCTCCGGTGCCTCTCCAAACAATGCCATCAGTGGAAGGAAGAGAAAGGATGCATTGATGTTATTATATAATGTCAGTCTCCATATATTATTGTCAACCAATGGCAGAACTTTCTTTGTATATATAGAATTCATTGCTACACTAGCACTGGCTAAAACTCCAAATACTACACCCATAACTGACAATGATCCTACAAATAGAGAAAATATTTCATTTAAAAAACATTAACTTAAACCACTATCTGCAATGGTCTTTTGAAAGCGAAAAATCAGTTCATTCAGTATCAAAAGTTCTTTTATCAGCTGTGAGCTGGATATATTAACAGCGTGTTTTTTTATCAACTAAAAAAACTTTAAATAATCAGTGTCCTTCTCCAAAACAGATTTAGAAACTGTTCATCCTAATAGAATATTCAATGAAAGGTAAATTTGCTAAGAATGTTAGTTAATAAAGGAGTAGGCCCGGTAAGACCCCTTTTTGGCCCCAAAATAAAGCATTTTTACATTTTGTTTAAATGTAAACTTTTAGCTAATTATTGGAAAGCAGAATACTTTAGTTTCGTGTTGAAGACCGTACTTTGATCTATAATGGTTTAAATTTTGACTTGGATGGAGAGTTGTCTCATTGGCACTCATACCACATCTTCTTATATCTATTATATTAATTCACAAGGTAACAGTACCCTTGAAGTCATGTCACCCTATCTACACACATTATTCTGACTCCCAGCCAACCAGTCTATCTAATTCACAAGGTAACAGTACCCTTGAAGTCATGTCACCCTATCTACACACATTATTTGGACTCCCACCCGACCAGTCTTTGCTCTTACCTCTAAATGCTGCATGCTTAGTGGAGAAGCAGCAAATACCAATTTCAAGTCTTTGGTATGACCTGCCTGGGGATTGAACCTACGACCTCCCATACTTGAGGCCCAGGGGAGCATGCTAGTTCAAGACCAATGAGGCAGTATTTTCAATTTGGTTACCATACTTATGGAAAAAAGTTCTGTATACTTTAAATTCAGAATTGTTTTTTTACTTATTGCACAAAAAAAACCTTGCATTTTAAAATTTTGATAGCGTTATTTGTATGCTGCATTTACTGAAATGACAATGATTAGACTGGCATTTTAGTCCATTCTTCAAAAATCACATTAATGAATGCATACAAAAATTTCTGAAATTACAGTATTGTATAAATAACCTATTTTCAATATTAGATAAATATTTACCTGCTACTTTTTCTTGGTCGACGCCCATGAAAAATCCACATATAATTATACCACAGCATCCCATTGCCTTCCACGATGTTGTTTGTTTCAGAATGAAGTAAGAAAACACCTGTAAGTAAATTAACAGTTTTAGTATACATCAACGATTTGGATTTTAAAGGGCAATAACTTAATTCTAAATATGACTGGACAATGTCAATCTAGCCCTTTTTTGGGGACTGATATGGTACTTTTATTCACTATTCATTTCATACCTAGACCCCAAGGGTAACTGGGGAATAGAAATATGGTCACTACAGGTCTTCTTCCGACCAGCAGTAAAACCCTTGGCAAAGTGGGGCGTCCGTTTGGCTGTGCAGGATGTTCAAGTACCCAGCCACGTCTGATCAGAATGGGGACATTAAACTGATGCCTCGTGTAGAAAGAGTGCCATGCTCTCTGCATGTTAAGAACCCGGCTTGTAACAACTCTTTGAGGGGTCCGTAATTGGCCTGTTGCAAGGCAAAATGTCTATCCCTATATCCATTATACCCTCATTTTCAAGTGGCAGTCAAAATTCCCTGACCTTCATTCGGGTCAGTCTTTAGTACAGGACCTACTTTTGTATTTAAATTTGTTAATTTTTTCTAGACAGATAAAATTATAAATGATAAATAAATGCCTAATGTTATCTTTGTCTGAAAATGTTATCACTGCAATGACTATGACAGTATGTTGAATTATTAACCACAAAGTCATAGATGACTGAATTTGTTTCAATGTAAATGCATGATACCAGAGTTGTGAGCATCACATATGTAACATCAATGATTTTCATCAGGTTAGCTTTAGATCGATATAATAATATACTTTATATACTGAACATTTGCATTCAAAATCTTGCAAACACTGAAGCACTTGCCACTGGACAGACTAACAGTCCACCAAATGAGAAACAAAGTATATTGTCTGACTGTTCATGCAGTTAGTAATACTAAGTATCCATTTAATTTCTTATGTTCACTAAGCTGGAGAATTATACACTTCTAGTGAATGACATGCTCTTTGTTAATATCTTTTAAAATTCAAAACCACAAACCTTATAAAAATTTGACAACAAATAAAGAGAAATCTTTCACATTTTTATTAGCTGGCTGGACTTAATAGCATGATCTGTTTCCAATATTTGGCATAAATCTTACTGTAAAATGACAATCAGTATAGACATACCTGTATATCATGATAGGGCAATACAAAATACATTTATAATCTACCTACCACATTGAATACTGTTGTTAATGATCTGCCTACATAGTAAAATGCCACACCAACAAACTTCAAACACAAGTTGTTAAATGATATCATGGATACAAAAACAATGGACAGAGGTAGTGTCTACAAAAAAACAAAAACATAACAATTTTATAAAATCCAAATCAAAGTTCTTACAGTATTGTGTTCATGTTTACTTTATCAACAAAATGTAAAAAATTATCAAAATCTAAATAATGCTTACCGTTATTGGTCAAAGATAATATTTGAAAATCATATGAGATTTGGCAAAACCAAAAAATGAAGTTTCCATGTAAATTGTGAAACAAGAGTGCACACGCTGAAATGTCTCGCCTTCTTTACTGACCATTGATTTTATGTTGATAGTCCTAAATATAAAGCTTTCCTACAACTATCACATTAACTTAACATGATCCAAGAAAATGAGGTCAAGGTCAGATAAACCAAACTGGAAATACATGTACACCTTACAATCATTCCATACACCAAATATGCTTTCAAAATAGTTGACCTATTGCACATAGTATCTAAGATACAAACTTCACCAGGAAAACTTAACGTTGATCATTGGTTCATGAAAATGTGGTCAAGGTCGGAGGAACCCTAACAGACAGACATGTACACCTTACAATCATTACATGCTTTAAATATAGTTGACCTATTGCATATAGTATCTAAGAAACACACTTAACCAGGAAAACTTAAGATTGACCAATGAACCATGAAAATGAGGTCAAGGTCAGATGAAAATTGTCAGACAGACATATACACCTTACAATCATTCCATACACCAAATATAGTTGACCTATTGCATACAGTATTAAGAAAAACAGACCAAAACACAAAACACTTAACTTTAACCACTGAACCATGAAAATGAGGTCAAGGTCAAATGACACCTGCCAGTTGGACATGTACACCTTACAATCATTCCATACACCAAATATAGTAGACCTATTGCTTATAGTATCTGAGATATGGACTTGACCACGAAAAACTTAACCTTGTTCACTGATCCATGAAATGAGGTCGAGGTCAAGTGAAAACTGTCTGACAGGCATGAGGACCTTGCAAGGTACGCACATACCAAATATAGTTATCCTATTACTCATAATAACATGAATAAGAGAGAAATTAAGGATACTAAAAATCTTAACTTTTTTTTCAAGTAGTCACTGAACCATGAAAATGAGGTACAATGGACAATGAAAGAAGTTGCAGGCTCGACAAAAAAACCCAGAGAAGGACAATTGAATAGAGCAAAATGCATTCTTCATTCAGGGTTTTCACTAAGGCGAGTCCATGAGTTCAGGACTCATGAAAATCTGTCTGAACTCATCACTTTCAAACTTGGCAAGTTCAAGGATGCATCAAGATCATAAAATGTTGTAACAACTGAGCACATATATCATCATTTATAACAAAAGTTTAAAGATAATCTAAATTTGAAGTCATTTTACTTGCTCTCTTTTATCATGGGAGACTGAAATGATAAATTATATAGCAAAATATATTTCATCTTCTCAATGTGGGACTAACCATGACCAAAAATAATGAGTCCCTGGACTGACCTGCAAAATCCTTAGTGAGAACCCTGTTCATTGACAGGCACATAATTGAAATAAACTTTGAACTTTAAAATACTTACTGCTCTGCATATCTTTAGATCAAAATCAACCTGTGGAAAGGTGACATGATTTGGGAAGAGCTTCGACAGGTAACTCAGTCCAAGACATATCCCGACTGTTACAACACACTGGTACCATGTGATAAATAAAGGGGCGTTCAACTGAAAATATACAATACATTTATCATGTTTATACTCCAAACAAGATTTTTAGATTAAAATAAAGTCAGGAAATGTAATTAACTTTGACCCTCATAATTTTGAACCATTTTATTATTCACCACTTTCTATCAAATTACTTGTAACTGTTGCGGCCATTGGTATTAAGATTTATGTAAGCAAGATACTCTATCCATTTGATTTCCAATATTAAATGTGTATTGTATATATATTTTTGTGTATCCGTAGCAACAGTCTGTGTTTATTTTTCCTTATACTTTGCAAAAGGCAGAATTGAAATAATAAACATGATAAATGTAGATTTCAAACGCCTTAGTGTTACATGTACAATGAACCTGCTCTCATGTTTGAAACTTTCATTTAAAAAAAAAACTATATTTTTCATCTCATTTTTGGGTAAAACTGCATCACATAAACTTAACATGATCCAAGAAAATGAGGTCAAGGTCGGATAAACCAAACGAGAAATACATGTACACCTTACAATCATTCAATAAACCAAACATAGTTGACCTATTGCTTATAGTTTCTAAGAAACAGTCTTAACCAAGAAAACTTAACATTGACCAATGAACCATGAAAATGAGGTCAAGGTCAGATGAACCATGCCAGACAGACATGTACACCTTACAATCAATGTATGCATTAAATGTAGTTGACCTATTGTTTATAGTATCTAAGAAACAAACTTAACCATGAAAACTTAACATTGACCAATGAACCATGAAAATGAGGTCAAGGTCAGATGAAAATTGCCAGACAGACATATACACCTTACAATCCTTCCATACAACAAATATAGTTGATCTATTGCTTATAGTTGAAAAAAAACAGACCAAAACACAAAAACTTAACACTGAGAAATGAACCGTGAAAATGAGGTCATGGTCAAATAAAACCTGCGAGACTGACATGTACATCATAAAATATTTCCATACACCAAATATAGTTGACCTATTGCATATAGTATTAGAAAATAAGACCAAAACTCAAAAACTTAACTTTGACCACTGAACCATGAAAATGAGGTCAAGGTCAGATGACACCTACCAGTTGGACATGTACAACTTACAATCATTCCATATACCAAATATTGTAGACCTACTGCTTATAGTATCTGATACATGTATATGGACTTGACCACGAAAACTTAACCTTGTTCACTGATCCATGAAATGAGGTCGAGGTCAAATGAAAATTGTCTGACGGACATGAGGACCTTGCAAGGTACGCACATACTAAACATAGTTATCCTATTACTCATAATAAGAAAGAAATTAACATTACAAAAAATGTTGACTTTTTTTTCAAATAGTCACTTAACCATGAAAATGAGGTCAAGGACAATGGACATATGACAGACGGAATCTTCGTAACATAAGTCATCTATATACAAAGTATGAAGCAGCCAGGTCTTCTAGCTTCTTAAATATAAAGCTTTTAAGAAGTTAGCTAACGCAGTCGCCGTTTCACTATCCCTATGTCGAGCTTTCTGCGACAAAAGTTGCAGGCTCGACAAAAAATATTGTGATTTTGATGGTGAAAACACTTTAACTTAATTCTACTGTAATTTATATACATTTTGTGTATTGTTATGCAATTCAATATGTACACTCTTTAATCTATGACAGAATTCTGTGATTAAGTTGTTATTAAAGCAAAAGGTGCTGACAGTGCTATTTTTAGCTATGACTTCTACTAATATATAAGGAGAAACACTTGCTGATTTTAACCAAATATTTTCATTGTATATCTTTGTTTACTAAAGTTTTCATGAAAAAAACCTGTTCTTACCTTAAGATCCTCACTGCTCAACAGATACTTGTTAAGAAACACCATAGATATGGACACACACCTAAATAATATACAGAATTGTATTATTTCAAGCCAAATAGATCAGTTCACATTTTCACTGGACATCAGTTTTTTTATAAATCCAAAGAGAAACACTTTTTAGCAATTAAAACAGACATTTGTTCACTTTTCAGCAAATAAAAACAGACATTTGTTCATAAGCCCCTTAAAATATGTAGGTCACAGCTCCTATTAAATGAGAAGTCAAGGCTTAAGGTTGCTGGTCAGATTTGACCATGTTGGAGTCACATGTATGCCTGGTGTGTGTAAACATTAAAAAGGCATGTATCACATGCGAAAAGCATGGGAGTTGTCAACAATGTAATTATGAAAAATTCGTAAGGGTTCAGCGGAACCCAGTGTCTCGCCTACTTTTGCTGTTAGTCGCAGGCTCAACAAAAATGGGGAAAAAATTATTAAAAATTTTCCTCTAGATACTATATTTTGATTGTAAGAAGTTCTGTTCAAGTTTGGTAAAAATCCAACATGTCCAAGAAGGTTTATGAATCTGATAAATGTTTTAAAAACTTTAACTGCAGACTGTACGTAATGTTAACTGGAATAAAACTAAATCCATTTATAAGTAATATAAGGAAAAACAGGAAATAAATTTTTACAAAATTTCCTTCTAGATTCTAGCTTTTGATCATAAACAAGCTTCTGTTCAAGTGTGGTACAAATCCAGGATAGTTTAAGAAAGTTATTAAAATTTGAAAAACTTTAACCACAGAGTGAATGTTATGTTAACTGGCAGAAAAACTAAGTCCATTTATGAGTAAAATACGGATAAACAGGATTTTTTTTTTTACAAAATTTTCTTCTGGATACTATCTTATGATTATAAACAAGCTTCTGTCCAAGTTTGGCACAAATCTAGGATAGTTTAAGAAAGTTATTAAAATTTTAAAAACTTTAACCACAGAGTGAATGTTATGTTAACTGGCAGAAAAACTAAGTCCTTTTATGAGTAAAATGCGGATAAACAGGATTTTTTTTTACAAAATTTACTTCTGGATACTATCTTATGATCATAACCAAGCTTCTGTCCAAGTTTGGTACAAATCTAGGATAGTTTAAGAATAAAAGTTATTAAAATTTGAAAAACTTTAACCACAGAGTGAATGTAATGTTAACTGGCAGAAAAACTAAGTCCATTTATGAGTAAAATACGGATAAACAGGATTTTTTTTTTTACAAAATTTACTTCTGGATACTATCTTATGATCATAACCAAGCTTCTGTCCAAGTTTGGTACAAATCTAGGATAGTTTAAGAAAGTTATTAAAATTTGAAAAACTTTAACCACAGAGTGAATGTAATGTTAACTGGCAGAAAAACTAAGTCCATTTATGAGTAAAATACGGATAAACAGGATTTTTTTTTTTACAAAATTTACTTCTGGATACTATCTTATGATCATAAACAAGCTTCTGTCCAAGTTTGGTTGAAATGCAGGATAGTTTAAGAAAGTAATTAAAATTTCAAAAACTTTAACCACAGAGTGAATATTTGTGGACGCCGCCGCCATCGACGGAATGTAGGATCGCTATGTCTTGCTTTTGCGACAAAAGTCGCAGGCTCGACAAAAATAATATCAGTTCACACATTTCCTTTATATACATTGTGTACTACATGTACATTGTAAGTCTAGTCAAACAAGAAATGATTGTAACAGGATGCTGTCTCCCAAACGAAGCTCCCATAATTCGTAATTCCCAGGGTCGCCTGACATTGGGCAAAGTCCAGTGAAAATTGGTTTGGTCCAGTAAAGTTATATGCATAAGTGATGCCTGGGGACTAACCCTGTATATCATTCAAATCATCTTGACTTCGTTTGGGAGACTTAATTATCAACAGACATGCTCCTTGTAATTAAATGTAGGCATAGAAAATCTGTGGTACTCTGAAAGCAAGAGCAAGACTTGATTCTTCAGATGGTATCTTAATAATGGCTAACAAATATACAATTTGTATCCCCATCAGCTGATTTAGGTTTTCTTAAATCTAATAACATAAACCGTACCAATTTGTCTGCACCAGATGCACAACTTCGACAATCAATGTCTCTTCAGTAATGCTTGAGGCCAAAATATTTGAAAATCCAAAGCTTATTAAAAAGATGAAGAGCTTTAAACCAAAAAGTATAACCAAAGCCGGGTAAGGAATCAGAGTTTTGAATGAGGGAGATATATTCCTTAATTTAAAATAATTTCCAAAATTTTGTAATAGCAAATTTTAATAACAAAAAATCTGTATTTTCATGCCAGTACTGAAGTACTGGCTACTGAGCTGGTGATACCCTTTGGGGACTATCAGTCCACCAGCAGAGGCATCGACCTATTGGCAGTGAACATAAATGGTACCAATTTTTCTGCACCAGATGCAATACATGTCTACTGATTGGAGATTTTGTGTAATTATTTGGGTAGGTCTTGGACATAATATATTGGATCATATTGACAGTCTACTTTTGCCAGGATCAGTAGACATAAATGTTTAGTATTTTGTTTCTCTCTCTTTTTTGAACACTGAGACTGTCGTTAACATTTAATGTAATTACTTTATTACAAATATTTAAAAAATGGCCACAATGAAAGATACTACTTTTACTTCTTATATTCATCTAACATTGTGAACATATAGGAAATTTAAAGTGTTGACAATTTTATGATATTCTTGGCTTTTACTCAATATGGCTTGCAAGCACTTATATATAAAGTTATGGCTTGAAATGTTAAAACAAAAAAATATAGTTTACAGTGATTTTGTCATGTTTGTTGTCTTTAGACATGTTAAAATTGTGTGGATCAAACGATAACCCAAGCTATACACTTTTGATCTTCATTGAAAAATTATTAAAACTTGTCTGTACCAAGTCAGGAATATGGAAGTTGTTATTCACTTGTTCCGTTGATCATTGATCGATAGCATTTGATTGTGTCAGTTAATATGGACTGCCCTTTTTTGAATTTGCCTTGGAGTTCAATATTTTTGTTATACTTTTTTCTCATTATAAACTTACATATTAAAGATATTGATTAATGCATAACTACAATCAATTTTGATTTGATTAAATATATAACAATAAGATGTGGTATGATTACCAATGAGACTTATGTTTATTCAAACACAATCAAATTTAGTATTGCATATTTTATGTAAGGATTTTAATATCACTATCAATGTTCTTGTTTTACAGTTTTGAATCATTTTTAATTATCATTTTTTGCTCATGAAAATATAAGAGATAAATAAACTGTTATCACAAAGATATGTCTCGCCTTTTTGTAATTTTGATAATGCAAATGTTGAAATTAAAATAGCAATACTTTAACATGAAAGTTATGCAAATATTCAAAGTCAATAATCATGACTGAAGGTACATGGCTAAAAATCTCCATGGAAATGAGATGTGCCAATGCTAATACAACTGCATACCAAATACCATTGACTTATTATAAGACGAGCCCTTTAAACAAACCTAAACACAAACATTAACTTGTAAGCTATGTAAATGTTTCAAAGTCAATGAACTATGACTGAGGGGGTGGGGCTATATAATCTCCATGGAAACGATACTTGCAAATGCCAATAAATTTGCATACCAAATATCATTGACTTAACATTAGCAGTTCATCTTAAACGGATCTACATGATGCTAATCACAAACTAATACATGCCGTAAACTAAGCAAAAGTTTCAAAGTTAATAGACTATGACTGAGGGGGGTGGGGCCAAATATTCTCCATGGAAAAGAGATGTGCTAATGCTTATACAACTGAATACCAGTTAACATTGGCCTACCACTAATGGTTCCCCTTGAACTGACCTAATCACAAACTAATACATGTAAACTAAGCAAAATTTTCGAAGTCAATAGACCATGACTAATGGGGCGTAGCCAAATATTCTCGATTGAAATGAGATGTGCTAATGCTTATACAACTGCATACCAATTATCATTGACCTACCACTAACGGTTCCCCTTAAACTGACCTAATCACAAACTAATACATGAAAACTAAGCAAAACTTTCAAAGTCAATAGACCTTGACTGAGGGGGCGGGGCCAAATAATCTCCATGGTAATGAGATGTGCCAATGCTAATACAACTGCATACCAAATATCATTGACCTACCACTAGTGGTTCACCATGAACTAGACCTTATCACAAACTAATACATGTAAACTAAGCAAAGTTTCAAAGTCAATAGACCTTGACTGAGGGGGCGGGGCCAAATAATCTCCATGGTAATGAGATGTGTCAATGCTAATACAACTGCATACCAAATATCATTGACCTACCACTAGTGGTTCACCATGAACTAGACCTAATCACAAACGAATACATTGTTGACGCCGTCGCTGCTGCAGGAAACAGCATACCTATGTCTCGCTTTTTTACTCTGTCTTCTTCAGTTTCGGAAAACCATCAACATACTGATGTTTACTTTCCGGCGCATGCCTGGTAAAATTTTTTCAAATTTATGTATTTATAAATACAGTTAAGCATAGATTATCAATTTTTTTTGTATTCCATATTTTTGTATATTTGTTATATTATTGATTTTTACAATTTTTCTTTGTTTTTAGGTTTTTCGTTTTTATATAGTTTTTCTAATATTTCATTTTTTATTTTTATTTTTAATTTAAGATAAAAAACATGATTGCCTGATTACTTCAGGTGTGGATAGGTATCAAGGAGCACATCGTGAGTGAGTGCATTCTTGAAGGTTTCTGTGGTGGTGTTTTTTGTTATGACTGAGGATAATTTGTTCCAGTCTTTAATTGTTTGACAAAAGAAAGAAAATTTGTAGCTGTCTTTGTTACATTGGATTTGTCGGTAAGCATCTTTATTGGTGAATCTTGTGTTGGACTGACTCTTTTGTAATAAATTTTGCGATGGAATGGCAATATTTTCGTTTTTAATTTTGTGGAACATTATTAGCCTTGTTCTTAGTCGGCTTTCTTGTAATGTTTGCCATTTCATGGTGTCTAGCATCTTAGATACACTGCTGGTATTGTGATGTCTGTTACATGCATACATTTTGTGTACCTTGCCGCTCGTCTCTGTACTTTTTCTAATGATCTAATGTTTTCGCTTGTATAGGGGTCCCATACAGTACAGCAGTAATCTAATTTGGGTCTTATGATGGTTTGGTATGCTCTTTCTTTTATTTTTTGTGACTGGACTTTGAGATTTCTTCTAATAAAACATAAAGATTTATTTGCTTTAGCGGCTGTTTGTTGGAAGTGGGTGTTCCATTTTAAGTCTGAAGAGATTGTGATACCTAAATATTTAGCATGTTTTACTGTTTCTAAGATGTGCCCATACATGTTGTAGTAGAAGTGGATAAGATTTCTTCTGGTTGTTATATATATATGTTCATGATGTTGCATTTGTCTGGGTGGAAAGACATGAGCCAGTCTTGCTCCCATTGTATGGCGGCTTCTAGATCTTCTTGAAGCTTGAGGCAGTCGTTTTGAGATTTAATTTGTCTGTAAATTATACTGTCATCTGCGAAGAGTCTGATTTTGCTATGTTTGATGTATTCTGGAAGGTCATTTATGTAAATAAGGTAAAGTATAGGTCCTAGCACTGTACCCTGTGGCACACCCGATGTGACTGGTACTTTTGAAGATGACATGTTTTCTAAAAGTTACTGTTTGAGTTCTGTTTGAAAGAAAGGATTCGACCCAGTTTATGATTTGATCTGATATGCCAAAGTATTTCATTTTATATAGTAGTCTTTTGTGTGGTACTTTGTCAAAAGCTTTGGCAAAATCCATGATTATGAGATCTGTTTGTATGTACTTGTCATTATTTTGTGATAATTCATGAATGAGTGAGATAACTTGAGACTCACATGATCGCTTTGCCCTAAATCCATGTTGTAATTCATACAGTGTGTTATTGGTTTCGAGATGTTGCATCATGCTGCTTGCAAAGATGTGTTCACGTAATTTGCAAGCTATGCATGTTAAGGATATAGGTCTGTAGTTACCTGGGTTATGTTTATCCCATTTTTTTAATACAGGTGTGACATTTGCGTGGTTCCAGTCAGATAGTACTTTGCCTGTTTCTAATGATCTGGTGAATATTAATGTGAGGATGTCTGTACATATCTCAATGTTTTGTTTGAGTACTTTGCCTGCGATGGTGTCAGGACCAGTAGCTTTATTAGGGTTTATGTTTTTGATAAGTTTATAAACACCATCCCTAGATATTGTTATGGTTGTCATTTTGTCAAGGGGAGACAAAAACGAGGTGCCGATTTGTCTTGGTCCCGAAATGTCCGAAACGGTGCCGAATTGTCTTTGGAAAAAGGTACCAACATGTCTAGGTGCCGAAATGTCTTGTTACCGTGGTACAGACTACACATGTGCAAGGCATCATTATCCTTATTTAGATTTGGAGTAATAAATGGTATATAATTAATTGTCAAAGCAAGGCCTTAAATATGTGCATATACTCTTAGCATCCTTGGTCCAAACTAAAATGCCTTAAATGGTTGCAATAGCAGAGAACTTGCTTATAAAAACGTACCAATATGTAGCTACAACAGCAGCTATCGTAACGTATTGTCTCAGTCTTGACTCCATTTTATGGCTTTTGTAAAAGCCTAGCGGTCCTCTCCTCATGGATTTTTGCAGGTTCGGGTTGACTAGTTTGGACTGTTGGCACGTCAATAGGTCCGGGTCACGTTAATGTTTTCATCTCTTGTATGGTTAGCTCAATTCCGGATTTCCGGATTTAGTGGTTTGAAATTCTTGATTAGATCTGGTGTATTTCAGCAGTTATAAGTTATTTTTTGATACTGAGCAAGGATCAGAACATTTAGATTGTAAATAAAATTTTATAAAACTCTATCTTTGGACACATTTATCTATTCCGCATTTAATAGAATACCCGATTTGAGCGGAGTTTTAATGTAGCACCGTTCATGGTCATGCAGACGTTTGTGTTTCAAAAAGAAGGGTCAGCTCTCTGACCCTCAATATCATGCCTCAGAAAAAGAATATATGTAATACAAATAACTTGTATAACATAACCCCAAATAGAGAAAGTTTTTTCCTGTTTAAAGACCGACCATCTAGATTATGGAATTTTAGCGCAAGAATTGCTTGTTTTGTAGTCATAAGTTACAGCAAAATTTGGGCAGGTAAACTATTTAAACACACAGTGGCACACACATATAATATGAGACAGGCGTTACCTGTGAAAGGGGAAGAAGTCTGTATGCATTATTTTTTTTAATTCAAGCATATTTTAACTTTAGATTCTGTTAAAAATGAAACGAAAATACGGAAACGTTTCCGATGTTGGTCCTGTTGTTAGGGATTTTAGTTGTGACGTCATTTTCAATGTAAACAAAGAAACGCTATGATTTCATTAGTATGTTGATTTTTATATTGATTTTTAGTTTTATTGATTTGCTTACTGTTATAAGGTAGGTCCCCATAACATTTTACTCAAATCCCTAGCCTAAACGATACCGGAAAAGATTTCTGCACAGATGCAGGAAAATAAAAAAAAGTCTGAAAAAAAAAGTTAACGATTTTGAGTTCATTAGTAGATTGATTTTTTTTTTTTTTTTTTTTTTTTTTTTTTTATTGATTTTACAGTAATCATGGTAATTGGGGACTGCGTCCCCATATTAGACCAAATAATTATGACGTCTTGAAAGGCCATTTTAGCCAAAAAATAAAGTAGCCTTTCAAGACGTCATAATTATTTGGACTAACACATATATGCGATTTGAATAAAGTGGAAGATGAACTTCATTTTTGATTCAGCCATGCTGGATCTATGCGATCACTCTGGTTTTTGAGATGGTGCAGAATACTAAGTTGAAGACATATCATGAAACTAATTATGCGTATTTATGACTTGCAGAAACTTTCTACACCATATTTTAATCATCAACTGCCAACTTTTGACATGTTATTTGCCCTTAAATTAAGAAAAGATTGATAAGAATTTCGAAAGTATTATATTAGTATATCTTATGCTTGTGTAAGTTGTTGTTCAATGAAATGTAGGTCAACATGTGTATTAATATATCTAAGTTGATTCCCACACTTTTTTGAAATGGTATTACTCCAATTCTTTCAATAGGCAAGTAAGAGTCAGTATGATTATCAACTGTCATGATTTTCAAATAATTACAATCAAAGGTGTAAGTATAATTGGAAACGACCCCAGGCTTAATTCACCACATTTAATGTATCATGACCTGTTACATAATTAAATAGACACAATTTATTACACACCTAACTGAATACACAAATTCTTGACCTCAATAGTAAACCTACAAATGTATTATTTTAATCTACACTACACTAAAATATTCTGTTAATTTTGCTAGCTAGCTGAATGATTAATCAGATGTGGGTTTTTTTTCAAAGAAAAGACAAAAAATTCAAAAAATATGTAATAAAAAATGCAAGCATATTTTATTTCACCTGTAAAATCATTGTCATTATCATCTGACATAAGTCAATAAGTTACAATTATCAGAAATTTGATTGAAATAATATACAAAATTGCATAACTCTTACCTGAGCATTTTCTGCAATAAAATTTATTTGTTTGTTCTACATTTATATCCCATTATATTGCTATTTAACAGTAATACACCAGTTTGACATTTAACTGCGCATGTCTAATCTAATTAGCCAAACTATGAAATCACGCGATAATTTCCGAGAGTTCATCAACTGGGGGCTAACGGTTGATAAGCAGTGACCATGCAGACTTGGAAAAAAATCATCTGCTTAAATGTTTGCATTTACATGTTAAAGCAACATGAGCATCATTTGAATCAAAATATAAAAATTATATTGACGAGACAACTTTATTAACAATGACACATTTAAAGATTTTAAAACGGACTACTGCTGTGTTGTTGGTTGCGGTAATATACGATCTGATATGCCGCCTGGCTTTAATTGTTCCTTTAATTGTCACAAATTCACGCTGAGGTCGTTCACTTAACGGGAAGAATAAATTAGATAAATAAGTTGGGCTCACTTCATCTACATTGTATTAGGTCATAAAATAAGAAGTCAATTAACACCTTAGCCATGTGGAATCCTCGTTTTACCTTGTACAATCTCACCAGGTGACAATTGATAAAAACGTACCCTTATCTATACATACAGTTACTGATAAAGGGCGACTATATGATTGATTTATTCAACTTGACGATATTTAAAATGTTAACCCTCGTACCTAATTTATACTTATTTATCATGGCCAGTACAGACCTTAATGCCACTGGGAATATTTTAATAATTTAGGAGGGGGGTCATTCAGCAATTTGACCTTTTTTTATGGCAAAGCGTGGTAAATATAGGATATTCAATTAATTGTAATGGCATGAAAAATGATAAAGTTGAAAATATGTAGAAAATTACTCTGGTTTCTGGGACTGAACCTCTGCATAGACGAAGTCGATCATGAACATAGCTTAGAAATTAAAATGGTATTGAATGCATTGTATTATAGTCTGATGTTTGAAATTAAAGATAAACCTGTATTTCTAATACGTATTTTAAAACTGCTTTTATATCTCTCTTCATTATCATGGCTGTTTAAAATATCACTGACGCAGAAATATTTGAAGCAAATGTACATTCAAATAAGAGGATGTGGTATGAGTGCCAATGAGACAACTCTCAACCCAAGTCACAATGTATAAGAAGTTAACAATTATAGGTCACAGTACGGTCTTCAACACGGAGCCGAGGCCCTGTCTACTACATGTCAATTTTTTCTGTTGGTATTCTGAAAGCATTTTATAAGAGCTATATCTTCCCACATTTTATTTTGATATTCTAGCTAAAATTCATTTTACCTTCAAATATTCATATAATGATACCTCAAAATTTTTTATCTGTTTAGTCCATACAAAATGTTTCATATTTTTACAGCCTGTAGCTTAAAATCAAAACTCTGTGACCTATCATTGTGTTTTTCATATTTTTAACATATCACAATATATACTACATCTTTGACAAAGGATACAAGGACAAATTCTATCAATTTTGTTTTACACTTTCATACTACTATTTGTGGAAATTTCGATTATTTAGTAATGCTGGTAACTTGTCCTTGTACCCATAAAATTTCACGTAAAAGTCACCATAATAGTAACCTGTTTTTTTTTTTAAAAGAAAATTAAAAGTTCGAGTCTATGATACTAAACCTATATTTAGGCCGTAACCCCTTTACATGCATGTCACAAGCTGAAGATGCAAAAAAATATTTCAGAAAAACTGCGAATTGATACTGGAACAGAACTGAAATTAAATGTATTTTCTTTTTATCGAATACTTTTCTCTTTTCAAGAAAAATCAAACTGATATACTGCAATGTACATAGCGCAGTAGGCAAAAGAAAGCAATAACAAGATTAATACTTTTTTAAAAACCATTTTACTAATATTTAAACACAACTGTTAGCAACAAGATGACTTATTTTCAGGTTTGAATTGTTTTGTGTCGGGACCTTTTGGAGCTTACTATTCGGTATGGATTTTTTCATTGTCGAGGGCTGTATGGTGATATATAGTTGCTTTCATCTGTCATTTGGGTCTGGTGGATAGTTGTCTTGTTTGCAATCATACCACATCTTTTTATTTTAAATTTGTTAATCAAATAAACGATTATTAATATCTTAAACTTAAATAATCTCAAGCATACACCATGAGAGAGAGATGTGTAATATTAGTTGATTTATTATTGTGTTGCTAAATATTAGAGTCAATTTGATGTAGCCCCCTGTCACGTATGATATCGTTAATTATCGCGGGATTTAAGCTCAAACGCGCATAAGATTTCGAGATCAGCGTTGATAAGTCGCTTATGTGAAACTGGTCTATTGGAAATATCTCATCATAAAAAAGTAGTTATTATTTTTTTTAATTTTTGCAATTGTTGTTGAGAAAGTGCACTTCTAAGGCCTCTTTCTGGAATTTATTAAGCCAGTTATTATTAATGGCATATAAAAAATATATTACTTATTTGACAATTTCCCTTTCCATTCTTGTAAAAAAAAATCTGACAGAGTCTAAAATTGAAATATCTATATATATCAATATTTGCATTAATATTGTGAAATTCCCTACCTTTGGACAATAACATAGAAATTTTACAGTAAGATTGGAAATGAAAAGAGAAAAAAATATTGAAAAAAGTATGGTCAGAAAGAATATCAGACTAGCTATAAATATGGCTGGATGATGGATCACAACATCGACGATGCTTTGATCTTATAGAATGTCCTGCATACTCTGAGGATAAAGATTTGTTATTTGATCTGATATTTAAAGAATATAAAAATTTTTACTCCTTAGATATGGTTAATAAATTTATTTGGTCATTAAACTGTGAGTCTATTAAGTGGTTAAAGTGGTACATGATTGTGTTAAGTGTTCTAATGACAAACAATGACATAATATAAACAATCCAATTTTTTGCTAAAGGAACTTCTGAACATAAATTCAAGCTGGTAAGTATCTTTATTTATGGCTAATATGTTAGTACATTAAAATTTGTATCGTATAGTTAATAATTTGACACAGATAATGCTTGCGTATGTCCAAACTTAAAAGTTGTGATTCGTTTCTTATGCTTAAAGAAAAGTGATTTGTTTACTGTCTGTTACATCACATATTTCAATATGATATAAACCTGCCATTAATTATTCTGAAAAATAGCTACAT